TGAGACGGAAAAACGTGAATTGTATGAATTTGGTTGTGCATTGAATGTGGCTTCTTTAATCGATCTCATTCTCTCGCCAAGCATTGAGGATGGTTAGAAAATATCCTATACAATAAATGTGTGCGCGATATGATCGTGAGAAGCGTGATTTGACAATCGCTGGGTATGAAAGTTTGGCGCTGTTTAATACCAAACATGAGCGTCACAGAGTGTATAAACTTGAGCAACAAGTGCGCAACTTGAGCGTTAAAGTTTAACGGAAAAGTCCATCAAGTATTAAAGAATTACGGGACACCAGATGGTGTCTTCATTCTTCTGGCGTATTGAGATGGTAAAAAGCTCCGTGATTTTGGCAAGCTAAAGCCACTCGAAGCTCAGATAAGAATTCGATTGATTTCATTGAGGTGCGCCATATGATTAATGCTATTAAGAGAGGCAGAAGTTCTCCAGAAAATGCTGACAAATGGCAATTAATTGTCTCTCAATAGGATTTCCAAAAGTTAGTTCCGTACAATCAATGCAATAAATCATCATTTCGATTATGTTATTTGCCGGGGAAAAAAAATAAGTAGGCAAAATGTAAACAAATACTGCTCAACGCTCAACTCATAAGCAACTTCTTCTCATGATGGCACTGTTAGACGATTTTCTCCGCAGTATTTCTGCCATTTATAGAAATGACTTAATAATTGCTGGAACGGTGACGTTTTTTGTGTGTCACGCGCTCCTCAAGCTGAAATTCTAGTGGGTGGGCCGAGAGTCAAAATTCACGCCAGTCGTTCTGAATATGGGCATGACATAAAGCGCTCATTGAATTATTCACAATCGATTTATTTTGCGCTAATGTTGCTGCCAGCAGAGAGCACTTTTAAGAAAATTACTGAGGGAAAATGGAGACAATTGAATGGAAAAATGGGGCAGAAAGTTATTGAGTTTCTACAGTGGGTGAAAAAAGTCTTGATTCTGTGAAAGTCTTATAAAATGGGATGGAAATACAATTAGTAATCAGTCAGCTAACCGTTGTGTGGAATTGCATGAGAATTTGAGTGGTCAAATTGAATTTCCACCACTGTAAATCTTCTATTCGAGTGGAAAAGTGCTGAAAGACAAAAAGACTTTCATATCCTGCAACTATAGATTACTGATGACTTATCCAAAATTGATTTTTCACTCGCAATCTTTCTCAACTATTGTCACGATGAAAAATGGCAAAGATGACTAAAAGTGCGGTGGCGCAGAGGAAGAAGTCTTTGGGTACACAATCCGCTGGGATCTCAAAGTAATTGGATGTTGAATGTCTCGTGTAATCTCACTGGTTGAATTGTTATTACCTCATTAGTGTAGTTGGGGAAAGAGTAATGAGCAAAACGACTGAATGTTTTACTCTTCTATCTCTTCTCTCGAATATATGTTGACTTCCTCTAGATTTATATCACTTGAGAAAATACCGAATTGAAGCGTTTCTGATGATTTTCCCCCTTTTGCTCACGATTTTCTCAATTTATGAAATTTCCGTGATATCTTTGGCATTTCTGCCTCTTTCATTTTGTTTTAATTAAAAATGAGGAAGTTAAATTGTGTATAAGGGAAGTGGGGCAGAATTTATTTGAACATCAAGCTTGATTTTGGAGCTTCTTTAGGCAACAATTCATTATTATTCTATTAACTCTGAAAAAAATTATGTATCTGTGCATCAATTTACCAAAATTAAGCACCATTTGAAGGTTGATTTTTGGCATTTGCTTCTAGTGTTTAGTTAGACTTTGTACACAATAAAAGTCACAGGGTAATTAATGCAGCTCCACTTTCCCCTACAAACTTTACAGAGCTTTTGCATAGGATATCCTTTTGGGTGAGCTTCGCTAAAGAGACATTTTAGACCATGAAAGCATGTAATGTTCCGTGTAATTTTGCATAAGAGGAACAGAAGAAAAATGGGCAATTATACGCCCTTTTGTGTCGCGGCTTTCTTTGTGTATATGTGTATCTCTTCGTCTCGAATTTCATCTATTTTTCGCCAAATTTATTCCACTGTGTGCAATTTGACGTGAATTTATAATTTGCCAGTAATCCAGTTAACAAGGCGGAATAAATAACTTGCAGACCTAGTAAATGGATTATTCTTGTTGGCTTTTTTTCCACCATTGGAATTAAAGCTGGGATATATTAATTAGATGAAAAGGATTGCGCCAGTAATTTGGTAGTGGCATTGAGAATTGCGCTATGGGATTTTTATATTGGCAAATACAAATAAAGCGAGATCAATGAGAAACTCCATTGAGAGAATATTTCCAATTGCTGATTTGTAGTTCAAGGTATTGCACGGAATTTAATATAGTATTTGAGCACTTCTAAGCATTATAGTTCAGCTTCTTTCCACTCCCTCTATCGCAATGGTGTATCTCTCTTTTGTGAGATTTATGTCTCGATGGTGGCATTTAAGTATGGAAATATAGTGGCAATTCTGGGGATGTTTATGTCATGGTTAGATAGAAACGTTACATGGTGCGAATATTTGGCAATTAAATATAGTATATCGTCAATATAGCAACACACACAAATTGGATTCCGAATCAGGCATTAATAATTCCATTATCTCGCCAAAGTTTACTGTTCGCATTTCTCTCTCTCTCTCTCTCGTTCTCTCTGATTTGGAGTGAAATGACTTTATTTTGGACAAGGAGATGCGCGCTTCGCTCTCAGTTTGACGCCAAAATAATTGTGCAACAATCCAGAGTTGGTCCAACGCTCAATCTTCATCACCGCAGCTCATTTGTTTCACTCTTTGTTTGGGCCCGAAGATGCCGAGTGATTGCATCAATTTTTCGACTACCATGAGATAATTTTATGTTTTAAAGTGGCACGATGTGAATTCATGAATTCAGCATAAATTTTACACGCCCTACATATCAATGCTCGTCTTTTTTCTTTCACGAATTCGAGGATTGTTCTTTTCTGTTCGATTTCCACTTGAAAATTTCAGGCAGTGGCCAAAAACCTAAGATTGCATGAGAGGTTTTTGGCTTAATTCGGCCTTTCTGCCTAGTTAATTGGCATTTCGGCGAGCTGCAGACTTGTGTAAACTATGCTGGTGAGTTTGTGGTGGCAAAAAGATCACCTTCCACTTAACTGTGGTCGCGATGAGACAGATACTTAACAGTTTCTCACGCAATTTTCCGCTGTGGGAAAAGTGTCGAAAAAGAGCGCTCATTTAGTTAAATATGTGCCTCCGTTTAGGAGATGCAATTGCGAGAGAGAGAGAGACCCTGAGAATTCGCAAGAGTCGCGTTTAATTGCCACAGTGCTCAAGCGCAGCTTTTTCATACTTTTCACCATGAATTATGACACTGTGCAAAATGTCTTTAAAGAATCCGATCACGTCGCGTCTTCGCCTCGAAACCCACACGCGAAGACCACCTCAATGTCTCTTGGCATGTGTGGCGGTAAAAATTGGCGCACATTTTCTTGATGTCGTCATTTGAGGTACTTTGGCCTCTTGGTTTTTTATTTTAACATTAGACTTTTATGATTGCTCTCTCTCCCCGCGCGAGCATGCTTGGGGTTTGGGGTGGAAATTTTATTGTGATACACACGGAAATCTCAGCACATTTTCCAGCCATGTCTTCGCTGGGTGTTCTTTTTCATTTTCATTGCTCTTTCTCCATGGCGCGCTTTTCTCTGCCAATATTTATTGCCCCAGAACGCCCTCCGCGAGGCATTTCTTTGTCTGCCAATGGCACATGTGAAACAATTTCTTGGAGACGACGCTTTTTTGCATAAAAATTCCACATACACATCATTTTCCATCTTCACCAACTTCTTTCCACTCGTGAGACGCTGTCTTGGGTGCTTTTGGGATTGGAAATGTAATAAATTTGGTGTCTCTTTGTGAGGATCAGTGTGTGATGTCATGGTAGTTGAGACAGTCAAGAGAGATATTCTCCTTTTGATATATTTGCAGCGTGAAAAACGCGTCTCTGAATATTGATGCACTTTCTCACAGTCAACTTTTCTCCATGTCGGAGTTGAAGGTGTTTTGCTGAAGAATATTAATGACTTTTCATCTGCTGATGTATTGCTCTTTGATTTGTTGTCACATCGAGATGGATATGAGTAATGCCCTAAATGAAGTGTGTTTGCGTGAAAGATTCATCGCGGTTCCGCATAAGCAAAAGCAGAGTGAGTGCTTATCTATACGTTCAAAGCCATGCTGAGGCTTTTCCCTGCAATTTCACACCGATGGACCTCTTAAATCATCAATGAAATCACCTCATTGACTCGCTATCGTGTCCATTTAAGGCAGATTTCATAAGATTTTTCGTCAGAGTGTCTACTTAGGTTGGCACGGAATGAGATTAAAAGGCAATGGTGGGGAAGAGAGTTGCTCTGGATGCGTGGGCATGGCAAAAGTGTCTTTTTCCTCTTCATTGCCATGAAATTATTAAGTTGCCCGCTCGGCGGATCGTAGGTGAGAAGGAAGGGAAGGTGGATATTGTCAAGAAATCCCAATAAGACGCTCCCTCTCCTTGTTGCTCTCTTTGTACGGAGAGAATCAAACTATCGCCTCCGTGCGGAGTGTGAATGGAGCGAAGAAGTGGAGGAGAGGCGAAAAAATGAGAAAACAATTTACGATGGTGGTGGTTTGCCTTGGAACTTTTGCATTTTGTCGTGGCCATTTTTCAACAGGTATTCGTACATATATTTTTCCCACTTTAAATAACTTTGTGTGGGGCAATGATTGTGGGAAATCAGAGGTGGGCTCTCGCGATGGTTGCGAAAGGTCTCACTTGAGGATTCTCAAGAACGTGGGGAAAAGGCATGAAGACTGTCCAAATTCAATTAGCACGACGGCAAATATTAAGGTAAATAGCAGATTTGGCGGAGATTTCAAGACACATCACATGTGGAGATCACATGTGTGTGGAGACACACACACATCGCGCAATTGACTGCTGGAAGAGATTTCTTAAGACGATATGAGAAGATGTCAGTTGACTTACATCACCAGCGTCTATTGCGATGTTGGAGGCACAAATTCCACTTTATTCACTGGATTCCAATGGCAGACAATTCGATGACATTCAGCTCTATCTGGGCCTTTCACACAAATTCTCACTCTTTTCCACACTTTTCACTGGGGGTGTTGATGAGTGCACTGCCGATGAAGAATCCACAGAAATCCGTGGTGGAAATGATTCACAATCACGATCAATTTTCTCACAACCGTGATCAGAGCGAGGCTGCAGAGACTCGCGATCGCACAATTGAGTTCTCGCGGTTTTACCTGACTGAGATCGACTGAGTGGCAGCTTTTCGCTGATTTACCTGCGAGCCGTGCCTTCTCACCTGGCTGCTCGTGGATCAACTGGCTAAGATTGTGTGTGTGCGCTGCTTCGCCAGTGGCGGCGGAGTAAAAGAGAAAGTTAACACCGCGCTGAATTCATGGTGGAAGAGACTAGCAGAATCATAACCAACAAATCTCTGGATTTTGTGGTTTGGCGCCGTTTTTTCCCTCACCTTCGCGAGTAATCTCATGCGATTTTTTTCACCTCTAACACGGTTGTTGTATGTTGTTTTTTTTTCTCTCATTTCCACTGAATCCCACCTCGGTGTGGCTTTTGATTAATTCATAGCAAATTTGTGAGTGGATTTCATTGTGGTTCTGCAGAGGAACAGCTACAGTAAGACTCACGCTACTTCTGCAGCTCACTTAAGCACTCACGATAGTTTGTTGTGGCCCAATGCAGAATCCCAGAGACCGTGTGCTCAATGTGTGTGTGCTAATTCATTTTCCTGTCTTGTATATTTGCAGAGAATTTTGAATTCTTCGCCCTGCGAATTGACCTTGTACCTCATCTCAGCTTCAGTGAACGTAACATTTCACCTCACCTTATTGCTTTACGTCATAGCTGAAGAATATCGACGTTGTACACAAACTGGCGGTAAGTGGATGTCTCTTATGCATTGTTTTGCATTCTTCTGTGCCAAGAAATGGCATGTCAACTATCAAAATCAATGAATTTGACACCTATTCTCTGAATCAATGGTGCGCTATTATTTATTAATAGCTCAAGAGCTCCCATTCAAACCATTTTCATTCATTCAATTTCGCAACGTTTTTTTTTTCGAGTTTCTCTCTCACTCTTGCTCAACACTAAATGGCAACAAAAGAGGCTTTTCCTCGCCGTGCTTCTCTCCCACTGTGTGTATTTGTGTTATGCAAATTTTTCGTAAATAGATACATCTGTTTGATGATCAGCATCGCACCCAAGAAAATATACCTTTTCTTGTGTAAATTCCAAAACACCCACCAAACACTTGAGTTTGCTTAATGAAGAGCCTCACCAAATATGAATGAATGAAATGTCTTTTGAAGCATATGCATATTTTGCTCGACTTTCTTAAGTACGATATTTGCCCAGTGTGGTCATTTGGTTTTGTCAACAACCTCTGTGAAAAGATGTCCATCGCACAAATGAGACCCACTCGGTCCGCAAAGGGTTAAAGGCAAAATTTGATTCACAGAAGCGATGGTCATTAGCAATTTTCATGGCGGAGCAAAGTCCAGATAAACATCTCTCGTTACGAAATGAGAAATCAATCGCAACTTGGCAGTATATTTAGTGTGTCAATTGGTTTGGGTATTGAAGCAATAAAAAAAAACTAGTAAAATGGTGAGAAGATTCGCGTCGTGAGATATCAAAGAGCATCAAAGATTCAATTCATCATCACAGCGTTCGTTGACATGAGTATTTTAATAGGCAGTATTTATATTCCAATTGTACTTTTCACGTTCGACAAGCAGCTCCGCATAATTTGTGGGCAGTTGTGCAAAAAGATCTCCAGCATGGAGAGAAATGGATGATGATTTAACTGTAGGCAACTCTTTCACCTCTTCACACTTTTATATTTGTTTTCATTGTCGATCATTGACATTTCACGATGGCATTGAAGTGAGATTTCTTCACTTTTAGGAGAAATTGGCGTGACGCGAATTGCCACAAGAGTGAATCCTATTGTTTCATCTCTTTCACAAGTGACGGAATGAAAGTGGTCTGCAAAATGCTGTCTTCTGCACTCTTGGACAATGAAAAAAAAAATTCCCAACTTCGTGTCTCTTGATGTCGATTTTTAATAACTTTCCTCGATTTACTGTGGCGCCGTGAGAAGATGGCCACAAAGTGGAGTCACTTTGTCAGGCTGTGGAGAAAAAGCTTAAAGCTTTCCCGACACGTGTAGCTTTTTCCTTACAATCGAAATGGTTGTTTTCATTGAGCCACAGAGAGAAAAATTGGGGATGGAGAGGAAAAAAACAAGACATATTTTGGTGAATAAATCCCCGTCAAAAATAGTCTTCTTCTATATTTTCATTAGATCAAGCGAATTGATCTCTGCGCCATTCCCCATTGCCTATCCTCGGCTTCATGGCTTGTGAAATAGAGTGGATGAAGTGGAGGGAAAATGTCGAAGGAAAATACAGTGTGTCCAATTTGAGTTGTGATTCATCGCTAGGTTTATCAAGAGTGTGTGCGAGAGAGAGGGACTTCCGGTGGAAAACGATGGTAATTTATTTCTGGACACTCCACTTTCCCATCGAGTCTCTCTGGTAAATTTGACTCTTCCGGTGACATCGAACTCGAAGATACTTCATTTTCTGTCAATACAACTTGGAGAAATTCTTAATTCACCCCTGGACAATGATGTTCGAATTGGTTTTAGCCCAACATCCGCCCGATGTTGTGCGAATTGTGGGAGTAATTTATGGATTTTTTATTGTAACGGAAATACACACACACACACACACATAATAACCAGAACAAATCCATTTCCTCTTTCAGTATTCCAATGGCATATTTTTCGCCCCTCCAAATATCAATCTTCCTCTCAAGGCGGGATGGGATTTTACCTCTCAAGAATATCTGGAATTGTTTGGTTTGAGCAAAAATCGACACTCTTTTGGTGTCCTCTTGTTCTTTTCGCAAAGGGTGTGAGAAAATGTGTGGCGCAATTTCATGGTGTGTTGAGAAGAGGGAAAAGAGCTTTCGTAGCACTAAAATGGATTCCTTCTCTTCTTCATGGGAAACTTTAAGATTGACGACTGAGCGCGTGAGTGTTGTGAAAAGTCCGTCAATTTTATCTGCCAGCGCGGAAAAGCTCAAAAGCTTAGAGGCAAATCACATGGAAAATGTCACAAGACCTCAAATATTTTACTCACTGGGTGGAAAAGGTGAAAAGGTTTTACATTTTGTATTATAGGTTTTTCCACAATATAAGCAGTTCTTTTGCACAACATTTTATACATTATTGATGTAAAAATCGCTCCTCAATTGCTGTAACTCAAATATAAGAAAGCCCAAAATCATATCAATTTCATTCACAAATGAATTTCTAACGCGTCCGCTTCCTGATTTTTCCCCAATTTGCCATCCTTGTTTACTTTTCCTGGCATTGCTGGAAGTTTTCCAATTAATTCCGCAATGTAATTGTGACGAGCATCTTGTGAGTTCTATCTTATGTGTTTGTAATTTCCAAAAGTCGTGAAATAATTAATTTTCACCACTGATGGTTTTCGGCGATGTAAAAAACCGTCCATCCAATTATATTGGCTTCCTATTCACATTGGTTCGTCGGTGTCATTGGCATTTTTTGGGCTTCCTCCATCAACTTCTCTCACTCTCGCTGAAATGAAATTGATGAAAACGACACATTCGGATGATATAATGAATTCAATTTCAGTTCTATCAGCAATTCTCCATCCTATCCATGTCGCAGGGCTCTTCCTTATACGTGATGGAATGCATTTAAGTGGATCCAGCTTCTAAATTTACATTTTATCAGGAATATTGATTCAGTTACACCACAAACACTGAGAATGGCGTGAGAGTGAATTATGTTGAGGAATATCATCTCTAGGGTTTTGATATGAAATTAAAGCACATATACGGGTTGAATATCATATGCAGATTTTGAGCTTTCAATTCCAAAGTAATCCCATTTCAGCTTGCGGCACATAATGTACATTTAGTACGGGTTTTGTCTAACTTACACTGACAGGGGGACATGGAGCGTGTTTATCAATTGCTGCAAGAGAGTATCTTATTGTGATTATAGCTGGGAAATAGTGTGAAAAGTTTGAGGTTTTCCTGGCGAGAGATTGTGCCCATTTTCTGCTTGTCTAATCTTATTAGGCAATTTCTCTGCTGCTTTACAAATCATTTCACAATTTTCACTTTAAGCCACAGACTGAAGAGACTGGAGATGATCATAAAAAAAAAGATTCTGAGTAGTGGAAGGGGGGAAGATTTGCAAGAATTTCTTAATAATGCAATATCAGGAAGAAGAAAGTGGGTGTAGGGAAAGTGTGAGGTGTGGCATAAAAATGTGAAATAAAGAGCGTCATATTTGTATAAATTTTAATTTATAAACACCCCCAAATTTCCGTGATATACGAATTTATAATTCAGCTGTTACCACCTCAAACCCTCTTTGGGGAATTCCTGCGGTGGGAAAAGCTCTCACCGGGAAAACTCTCGTGACTAGGCTGAGGCGTGGGGAGGGCTTTTTTCGTTCAGCCATCAAAAAATATTACACATTCTCGCAGCCTTCATCATTTTGTAAATAATACAATACACTTCTCTCGGTGTGTGAGATGAAAAAGCTCTGCTGCTGGGCTGGGCTTTTTGACGCGCACTGCAAGTTTGAGGGGTTTTGCGTTCATTTTTCCTTTTGTGACTCGTGCGGTGTTTAGTTGTTGAAATTAATGGTGTATTTTATGCCTTTTTCTCGCGTTTGCCCATTGTACAAAGTGGCTTTTGTGTGTTCCAGGCCATGTGAGAGATATGAAATGAAAATGGTACACACATAAAATATCCATCGAGTTGGACTTTCTGCGTGTCTAAAGTCGAGTGGGGAGAAAATTGTGCGATTACGCTGGTTGCGAGAGGTTTTAATTCTGAAAAGGAGGGTTGAAGTATAACTTTGAAGCGAGATGTCCTGTGAATACCCTCATTTTGGGCGAGATTCTCCTTTGTTCTGTCTCCAAAATTGAACAATAGAACTTTTCTTCCCGCTCACACTTCCAGGGGGCAAAACTGGCGGGAGATTCCATAACAATTAAGTATTGGACTTGCAGTGTTTTCCTCCGGATATTTTTCGTGTGCGTTGTGAGGTGGAAAAAATTGCTTGTCGAGCTTCTCTATTGTGCCTCCGGTTGGGCTTGGAAAAATCATCCTTCATTCATTAAGTAGGTTCGGGTGAAGGAAAACAATCCTAAAGTCTTAGGGAAATTTCTTCATTGTGGGCGAAGGAGTGAGTAAAAGGAAAATCCTGATGAAAGTCTCAGGGGTTAGCGTTATTCTTCTCGCCTAAAATGGATGGGTGAATTCGGTTGTCGTGTGAATTTTTCCCTGTATCCCAAATACTATAGTGAAAATACTCACTCTATCACATCATAAATTGGAAGCTCGTGTTACATGAAAAATAGGGAGAATAGCGATCAATTTCCATAAAGTGAGATTTCCCCGATAATCACCAATTGGGTTGGAATTGAATCAAAACATTTTCTCTCTCGCTCTCTCGAGATACACAATATCACTATGCGGAAAATTCTCTGCAGTGCTTTTCACGATAAACGGACGCAAAGAGTGAATGTAATTATTGGAAAGTATCACAACAATGTGCTTCTGTAATATATTCTGTCCTCTGGCATTTGCGCGCAAGTGGCTCTAAAAGTATGAAGTTAATTAATGAAAATTTGCACCGTAATGAACAACCCTGTACATTGTCAAATTCTATAAATTCATATTAATGCAGGGCAGGTGCTAGAATTTTGGTGCTTCTGCATTGTGTTGAATCACGATAACATTACATTAATTTCCGTCTACCAACAATTTAAAGAGTCCTTTACTTCCATTTTTATCTTTTTTCTATGTTGTGGAAATTTCATGACTGCATGTCTCTATCATAATTCATATCTTCTCCTTTTTGTCGCTTTTACTCTCAGTGTGCATTAGTGTGTAATTTAAAATCCCAACTGACGTCCATGTCTGATGGATTAACTCCTTTTCATGCTCGCTCTCGCGCCCTCTTGATCTTTTCGTGGTGTGACGAGGAGGCTTGTGGTATTTTCGTGAATGCGGGCGCGGGGGTGGAATGATAACGTTGTACTGAATGCGTGGAATGTGTCACGACATGAGGCGAGAATTCATGCTCGAGGGGTGAAAAAATTGTTGTCAGGAGGATGTCTTTCAGTGTGAATGAAGGCGATAAATAGGGAGTAAAATCACGCTACAATAGCACGATACAAGATATGCATTGTGCGGATATAATGGTTGGAAAAGAATTTATGTAAATCCTCTAAATGTTGAATATGTTGAGCATGTGTGTGTGCCAAAAATTGCCTATGAATTCAATTAGCATAAGAGACAACTTGGCATTATGCAAATTGTGTGATGATATGAACTTTGACGCCTCCTTCGCATTGTACATTGAGACATTCCGGGGAAATGTGGCAATGTCAAGGCAAAGAAAGGGATAAGTATACTTGTGATTCTAATGGAAAATGTACTTTTTTCAGAGAATTTCATATTGAAAACATCCCAAGAGCTGCAATTCTTACAATGCGCTGCGAAGCGGAAGAGGAGAAGGGGAGATTTCTGGAAGTTCCCACGGGTGTCTCAGGAGAAGGCAGGATTTACGTGAGACGACGTACAGTTTGGGCACATGACGACTGTCTTGGGATGATGTGTGTGTGTGAGCAGAAGATGGTTGAGAATTGGTGGATGGCGCAAGGAAGACGAGGAAGGAAAGGTGAGTGAGTGATAACGAAAAATTGTGCAAAGAAAGGACCATGAAAAATCGATTGGAATGAAAGACGCGTGCGCTCTTTACCTGTTTCACACAACCTGCTGCTCTCCAGCCAGAAGCTCGCAGTGGGTGGATGACACCATCTGACGAGTGTGACTTCGCTTGGGTCAAATGCACCAAGAAGAGCATCCCTCCTCTGTTCATCCCTGCCATTGCATTTCCAGCCCCATTCATCTCTCTCAATGGGGCGAAAGTTGCGGGGAGTGAATGTAAAATGATCTTGCAGGAAAATTATCCGTTCTCGGGTCGTCAGGAGAAACGGGATTGAGCAGAGCAATGTGCGGTGTCACTTGAAAAGAGAGCCCCACCCCGAACAGATGGGTATATTGAGGAAGTATCCGATTGTGTCTCGATCATTAGGAGCTTTTGGTGTATCCTTCAAGGAGAGAATGTCAATTGGACTTCTTTGCAGCGCTGCAATTTTCACAATGTCTTTTTTAGGGGTTGTGTTTTCTTACGTGCGCACTTTGGGCTGAAATTTTCCACTGTTTTACCATATTTGATTAACTTGAAAGTTTCCTATTTTAATTAATATTTTGAAATTATTGTATAATATTTAAAGCTTCACTCAAAAAAAAGAAACAACAGATTTTCAGCAGATTTTCCGAAAAAAGCTATATTCAACTCACTGCACGTTGAATAATTATTACACAAAATGCATTAAGGATGTTTCACATAACTTTTACTTCCGCACGGCTAAATCCGCGCGTGAATGGCGAGCTTTTTGCATGCGGCAAGGCCACTAAAATCAGAGTGCAGATTATGCTTGCCCCTGTTGGGGTTTTGGAGTGCTAAAATCAGGGAGAAAAATGACCTACCCCATGGCAGCGAGTCTAGAGCAGTAATCAGAGTTGCGAAGAGCAATTTCGCCGCTGACAGATTGTTCGAATGGGTGTGTGAGGAAAAATTGTGTTAAATGTGGATGGTTTGTGAATGCCAAAAGGGTTGACTAGCGCGATGGAGCGAAAATTCAGAGGGGAGAATATCGTACGAATAAGTTCTTGATGGAAAAAATCCATATATAAATGAGCAAAAATTCAAATGTTTAAAAAGCTCTATTGAGTAACAAATACAATTATCCTAATTTTGCTCTCGTCCAACAAGTTCGCGCAGGAAAAATGAATTAAAATGGACATGGAACTTTTTTTCTCTCTCATCCGTGAGCTTTTCATCCTCTTTTATCGTGGGATTTTTCTCAAATAAACCCAAAATCTTCTCGCATTCAGCAATTTTTTGCGCTATGATCCATCATCAAATGGTCCACGGATGCCTTTTTCTCTCTATACCTATGAATGTATAGTCGAACAGCCCAGTAAATGGCAGATAAAGTGAATGGGAGTGAAATGGCCAGCGAGTTGGAGATTGAAAATGCTCAAAATTAATCGGATTAAAAACTCTCGTTGAAAATTCGATTTTGTCATGAATGTATTCCAGAAGGGAAAATAGTGCTGTAATTTATGTTTCTGCAAATACGAGTGAAAGGGTTGATGTAATGAATGACGAGCATAATGGAAACTTTTGCAATTTTCCGTGTGGAATTTTTCCGGGAATTCCGCTGAATATTGAAAAAAAAATAACTGGTGAGTGAGAATGTTGATAAAACTTCCTGTGACTTTGGTTTTCCATATCGTGTCTCTCAATCACGCACTGGCCAAGTTATCGCTATATAGTGTCGTTTTCTGTTTAATTTCTACCTCCCACCACCTGAAAGCTATCAAACTACCCTCTCATCAATTTTTCTACCCTTTCCGCCTCAGTAAAACAGACACACATGTTCAGGGCGGGAGAAATCAATTCATTAGGTCACTCTGAGGTGGTTCATAGTGCGCAATTTCCGCCTTCGCACTGCCGCTGGATTTCCACCGGGAAAATAGTTAAGTTGTGGGATGATTTGGGGGGTGGGGAGACTGTGAAAGAGACAGAAAATTACAGCTGAACATCACGCATTTCAGACTCATTCTCCTTCGACATGAGAGAGAATAATTGTTAGTCATTGATGTGACACGATTTCTTGCACGCCATCCGCTTCTTCAGTCCATTCAGTCGGTGGTAATGCCAAGTTTGGAATTCTGAACACACTTTGCATTGCAGTGGGTGTATTTATCCCCCATGAAAATGCCTTTAATTCCTGTGTGGGAGCATCGATCTAACTCAATTCGTCTGGCATCTTGCCTGTGAGCATCAATTGGAAATTATTGGATGTAATTCATCTAATTGGTGACTTATTTGCACCTCCGCGTCGCTTCTTAACACTGTGAAATGTTAAATATTACACTAAAATTAAATGAGCTCAATGTTTTCAGATTAATCTCATTAACCTGATCAATTGCCGAGTTCTACTGATGAAAATAGCACTTTCCTTAATTGTGGAAAGGTCAAACGTAGTCGCTAAAGTACCTCTCTTCATCTATATTTCCGTTTAAGTCAGCACTTTTCAATTCTTAAAAAGTTGCATTAAATTGAAAATTAAGCAGATTTTTGATAGAGTCAAATTAAATTGAAAGTATTTCCAAAAACATCAAGAGATCCACGCATAAGATTGTCAGTTAGTTTTTCCAGTGTTAAGACCATCTATTTATATGAAATGATTTATCAAATTTGTATAAACTATGATATTAATTCGCTATTAAAGTTACTCTGTAAAAATTGTCTTTTTAATGCACAAATTGGATTAATTTGAAATTTTCTGAGGTTTTTTTTGTACAGATTTTCCGTGAAAAATTGCTTTTTAGCACGCAAATAATTTTTTCAATGTATTTGAAAACCAATTATGCAATCTGAAAAATCTTCCTCTCTGTATTTGGCAGTTTTCGGAATTCGCACTTTCTCCGCGCTTTCTGCCATTCTCAGTGATTTTCTCACGACTGATTGTTTTCGTGCGGCACAATTATATCTGTATTTCTTCGAATATGTACGTAACATACATACATGTCAAGGATTACTGACTGTGTCTGCGTGCTCTCCTCGGCAAGTTTTCCCGCTCTTTCCACTCCTGGAAAATGTCTCTCGCATTCTCTCTCGCGATCTCTCCACGCGCTCTCGCTGTTAGTTTGTGTGCCCATCTTTTTCCCTGTTGACTTGAGGGAATGTCGGGGAGGGTTTCACAGGGTGGTTGGGCGCAGATAAAACGCAGTCGTCAATTCAGTCGGTGGTGAGCTTCGGTCGGCAGCAGACGCTCAAAGTGGGGCGATACTGGCATTCCGTTGTCGTGTTTTGTATTTGTTCCTCCAAATATTTCCAAGTGACATAAGTGGCGGAATTGATGGTGGAAAACGTTTATCCTTTCTCGAAAAATTGCAATCCCTCTGTTGTTTATCCGATGCACAAGCCAGTGTACACGTTGTGACGCTTGTTTGAACAATTTTAATGAATATGGACAGTTGTGTATGAACGCAGAAAGAGAACTTCCATTATTGGAGCTTTTCCCAACCCACTCACTGTCTGTGTATACATTGTGTGTACATTGGGGCTGAGCGGAAAAAAAGTGTCACTGAGCAGCATATTAAAAAAACAGAGACTAAATTTTTTCAATGATTTTATCGCCGCGTTTGCTGAATTATCCATTGAAGTGACTTTTTGCTTTTTTTTCTAAATTTCTGTGATTAGGGAATTTGGCTGGATATTTTCGAGAGAATGAACAGCACATTTCTTTAAGGTTGTACATTTAAGTCTGTCTTTTTTCATCTCCCACTTCTTATGCATGTGTTTTGGGAGACAAAATTTGCCTATTGTGAGATTCTCTTGAATTCTGTGATGCGAACTATAAAGAAAAGTGAGAAGAGATGAAGGAAAAGTCTCTTTTCGTAAACTGAATTTACTATGTATTTATCTATCCCCGAGTCGCTTCACTTTATCGAGCGAAGTCAAGACATACGAACACGGAATGAGTGTGAGTTTTGTCTAAGAGTGCCACTTGCAATCTGTTGCATGTGAATTTTCTTAATGGGTAAGCTTTTTGTCTTAGAGATTCTTCTCTGCAAGCTTAAGTGGAAACAAAGTGGAAAATCATAAATCTTTGATAAGTTGAGGAAAGTGATATAAATTTTAGGGGGTGATTTTGCTGTTGCTGCGAAGGGAGAATGTAATTACATTTTTTAATAAGGTAAATTTCATTAAGTGAATTGATAAGGAGACAATTTTCCTCCCTCTGTATTTCCACTGATTAAATATTACACTCTGTTGCCTTCACGCGGAAAGGCTCGAGAAAAACCAGGCGAAAATGGGCCGCATTCATGAAAATCTCTGAGTATTATGAGAATAAAATATTTTATTGGTTCAATTCAAAGAGTTTTCACAAATTATGATGTTTAATTATAGTTTTTTCTATAATTCCAACCAATTAGTGTCTTATGAATATTCATACTTTCTTATTAACCAATTTCGCCACTGTCGCTCAATACATATAGTGAATGAAGTTTATTCGCGTTTGGCGCACCTTTGGGTCTCTAATCTCGGGCCTCGTGTTATCTCAATAAACGTTCCACTTATGAAAATGCGCATGAAAATTAATAAATGAGGCCTATTTGTGCTACAATTCATAATCTCTTCTTCACCGCGGCGGAAAATGCGAGAATTAAGGGTGAAAGAAGTATACCTTAGAGGGTGATTCTCACGGAAAAATGGTTGGGATGAGATTTCATCGTGGAGCTCATACGGAAAATGTCAGAGGAAGAACGAGAGACTTGTGAAGTTATGGAGAGAGAAAAAAAAAGTCGCAACACAAATATTTAATTTAGTCTGAAGGGTGGCTTGTTGTGGGGGAGAGAGACTGAATTGTAGGATTAATAAAATGAGGAACAAAATCGATTTACAATGAAGCCACTCAACCATGCAAAAATATATTTTCATTGTGTGTCTCCTTCTTCACTGTATGTTGTTCTTCCATCCCTTTTTCCCTCCAATCCACCCTCAATGGTTGGTTTTTCAACTTCGCCGTGAATTATTAATCGTGCAAGAAAGTAGGTGAAATTGAGTTTTTATAAGGCACTTTCGTATCGATTCAATTATAAATTGTACCTTTACGGTATACAAAGTCGCTCTGCAGGACGCCAACAATAGATGCACATATTCATTGGGGGCAGAAAAGCTGTACAATGTGTGTAATATCCATCGGTGCATTGTTGGTTTCGGCGCCCAGAACTGTGCTCTATGATAAAGACTGACTTTTGACTGGAAATCTGTTGATCATGGACGGAAGGCTCGAGACTCTTCCTCAGCAGGCTCAGTCTGTTTTGTAGAATCCGAGCTTATCTGTTCTTAATATTTTGTATTAGTTAATACATTTTGTGAGAAATCACGGTTTGTGGTTGAAACATTAAAATATTAAAGCTCTTTGTTTTGCGCTTTTCTACCTTAATTCTGTCACCCTGCGACAAATCCTTGCTACGCCACTGTGTATCAATTGTGCCGAAGAATGAAATAGCGCTTTGTTTCCCTTGGGATTCGATAGGACACAGATGAGAATTCAAATAGTTCTTCGCCCAATCAACGTGGGAAGTATTGAGGAAAACAAGATAGAGAGATTGTTAATCTATTGTCTCATATTTCTCATATATTCTCCGTCCTGCTGAGGACATTCACATTAGATGGTATGTGATTTCACAATGGGATAAAATTTCAATTTCCCCCCTGCGCTCATATTGTCGCACAATGACTCTCCCTCGCAAATAACTTATTTTCACCGGGAGGTGGAAGAGGAAATTTTCCAATTATTTTTGCACAAAAGACACAGTCACAATTACCATGGCGTGGAGTCCTTGCCGATGGTACTTTCGCAACCCAGAATTCTCCGCAAGTTCAATCGATAAAACTTCAGGATATATCACTTTTCCTCATAGAAATTGTCGGTGAGAATGTGAGGAAACTGCGGGCGACATTGGGAGAGCTTTTACCAGGCGTCTCCATCTTTAGTAATTTATTTAATTACGCTGAAATTGTATTTGTTTTGCACTGGAGATAATTACTGTGGGCTCTCAATGGGAGTCTGTCCAAGTTCGCGTGGCGATGGCAAATTAAATTGCACTCCGGGTGGCGAAGACATCTTTTCCTTCAGAGAGGCCGTGGCGAAGCTGTGGGATTTGACCGTAAATTGTTCCCAACACGAACAATTCGAGGTGTAATTGTGAAAAATTATATCGACATTCTGAGGCAGAATCAGAATTAATACGAAGCGATGGTGGAAATTATTAATCTCTGGGGAGAATGGACACATTAGATCGTGATGTGGCCATAAGTTTGTGGGGCCTTGAACCACCTGTTTGGCCTCGGTATCTTGCCAGATAGTGCACACAGTTCTCACCCTCATGTGGATTAAGATGGGCCACATTTCTGGCATGCTCGAGCGCTATTCACAAGTTGGAATTATGTTGTTTACCAAAATTAGCATAGAGATTATGCGATAAATTTTATGCCACTCAATATTATATTAGCCAATTGCCTATCTCATGAGCTCAACAGTAGAAAAATATTTCCATATACAAATTCCACCACATATTCAACAAATATTTTATCGTTCATAAATAATAAAACGATGTGGCGCACTTGTTGAGCTAAAAACGTTCTATATGACGAGTGATTTTGAGGCGCATATTGAGAAGGAAAGTGGAAATTTCACTGTGAAATAATCATATTTCCTAATTAGTTTCACATTAATGTGTATATTGTTGGAAAATGAATGCTCACCTGTTCTTGACTTCACGGTGAAATGTCAAAGGGAAGTAATTGGCAGTTTCATCTCACAATTTCTCCTACAATGCTAATATGTTAACTTTGTGCCATTCTCACAAAGGCGAAGAAAAAAATATTTGAAATTCCATAGCAGGTAAATTTACCTTTGGCAGCGTAATTGTTTGTCATGAAAGAAAACTCCTGTGAAGTATGAAATGTATATATTAATTTCTGTATTAATTTTCAGTATAAATTTCTCAAGATATTATTTCAGAAGGTAGGAAATTCTTGCCAAAACATTCGCCCTCTGCAATTATGAGTCTTCCTATACAGTTTATTTAATTATCTCTCTTACTGAGCCTAACATGAGGGCGGGTGAGATGAATTGTGCACAAATAGAGGCTAAATATTTTCCTCTGTTTCCAATACTAATTAATTTATTAAGTGTGACGGAGATTGTCGAGACAGAGAGGTGAAGTTCTATCCAACATGAGGGCGCAGATAGAATGAGATTTCATCTATAGTCATAGCTGTGTGGCTGAGCTTTTCCCTTTCAAGCCACTTGTGGTTAAATTGGCACACTCAGCTGAATGTTAAGGCGCGTATTTGTGCTATATACAATTTTCTTTCTGCAAAATGTATGAAATCTTTTCCACATTAGCAGCGCTGAAGTATATAAAAGTGCCTTGAAATAATTCATGAGGTCAAATTAATCCGATTTAAGGCTTTAGGGGGTTTTTGTGAGAGTGTTGCAAGATGCCGCAGAAATGGTTGTGCACTTTTCATCCCCTCCGTTGGCGTGATGGCGAACTCAAGAGATGAAAATGACGTGTGCATGAGGTGCTTTAAAGTTTGAGAGTCCTTTTCTGTGCGACGAGAGCGCGGTGAAATGTCTTTCTCAACGTGCACGGAGTGTGTCACTTTTTATTCCACACAACACACATGAGAATAAGGATGAAATGAGAGAACAAATTACCACATTGAAAACTTTGTGTCATGGAGTTTTACTAAAATTTCTTCTCCCGCTTTTCTCAAATACACTCGTTGCATTTTTGATTGCGAATCCTTTTGGGAGCATTAGAGGAAGGAGTACATGTTACAAATTACATTGGGTTAATATCTTTAAGACTCACATATTAGCTTGAAACATTAATGGTAAGGAGCTTTGTGAAAATTCCATGTAATAATTAAATACCCATCCCAGTAGTGCACTTTGAAATGCACACACTTTTTGCTGGATAAGCAAAAAAAATGTGGAAATGAAGCAATTTTTTGCCTGATGCATAAATGTAGCAAGATTTAATAATTTCATATCTTCCTCTACTCTCTACTAATTATCACTCTTCTATATTCCAAAGATCCAGGCGACTTGTACAGCTGTCGAGAGTTACTGAACGCTGAGAGTCCCGAAGTTCCTTACTACTAAGGAGCGAGCAGGAGGAATTTGGTGACGTCGGAGAGTGTGAGAAATTCGATATGAGTTTCTTCAGTTCACTTCAGCAGTATGTGACGAGCGGTGTGGCGGGATTAGGACTGAGTCCACGGAGATTCTCAATGTCACGTCAAGAATCGACCGAAGCACCGCAAGACAAGGGAAACAATTCACATGTTCATGGTGAGTTTGTTTGGATATATTGTATACATTAGAACAGCCACAAGTGTTTCATAAGACATGCATGGCGAGCTTTTGAGAGCTTTTGCAAGTTTTATCGGTCATGTCATATAATATTCGTATCATTGCCACAGGATATTTCCTTTTCATCTTGATTATAATTTCTCTAATACAATTTTTAAGACGGAGTCATGATAGAATTTTGCTTTAGAAGTGTCTATCTATGTCTATTTCCGTGGAAAATCTGGGGATTTATTGGCAGACAGAGCCTTAGAATTTAACGTTTGACACACACACTGTCTGTATATTTATGCTCTTCTTCTGGCATTTTCCATATACAGCAAAAACACTATTTATGAGACGTTCCTAAAGCTTCATCCCTAGTCAGTTGCTAGTTTATTTATGTTTTAATATAGACGGAAAAAAGTTGTGGAACGCGGAAAATCCATCAGCTTTCGTAATCTCTCTTCCTGGAACACTCCTAAAAATGCCCCTGCCTTTCTCTCTCGCTATTGTACATTTCATTATGACATATTTTGATTAATAGTAATGCTTGTGTTATTTTGGACGTAGAGATGAAAATTCCATTTATCATTTGCATTAAAATATTTGTTAACAAGCTGAGCATTTGACGAGGGATATTTTCTCACTGAGATTTTCGACGATGCGTCATGAGCCACCATAAATAAATTAAACTATTTTCCACCCTGGATAAAGTAATGACATCCATCAATCTTCATTTAGTTCTTGTGTATGTGCGGCTTGGAGAATGTAATGTGAAATTAAATTTAACACAGGCCAATTCAACTATGCCTAAAATTAGGGATGTTCTTCCTTCCGCAAAGCCGCACGGCGGGTGAGCTTTTCACGAACTGGGGAAAGTGTAAATTGCAGTGCCGCCAGGAAGTAATTAGGGAGTTCAATATCCGCCATTGATTTTCGTCGTAGAAGACAAACACACAGTGGGGCAGAAGAGAGATAGAAAGGGCCAAACAAATGGGGTGAATGACAATTGATCTCCTTCGGTACGGCAGTTGTTCATATTCCCAAGGAAAGGGACATTATTTGGCGAGGAGGAATCCCTCGTGAAGTGAAAATATATCCTCTGGGAGGGATAAAACAACGCAAGAATCTCCAATTCCACCCTTCAACATTGCCTTTGACTCTCGAGGGTGCTCTCCATTATATTTTCTCCGAATATTTCTGATATGTTTCATTCTCATTTGAACTTGAACCTTGTCCTCTCTTGACACTTTTCACGACACTTTAAGCAAGCATTGTCTCCCAGTGTATACGTTTCAGTCCGTTTTTCGGCAGAAGGTATTTGTATTAGCAGAAAAAAATGCTGTGGAGACAAAGGAAAGCTCACGCTTTCGGCCACCCGTCGTGCCTTAAATACTTAAAAGCAAGTCTATGGAGATTTGTCTCATGCTGAGTGTCATCTAATTTCACATTGAACACCATTTTCGTTTTACTGGGTGAATTTGTGTCTCCCAACGGGGGTTCAAAATCCCACACCTTCTTCCACTCTCTCAACTCTGCCATTTTATTATTGATTCCGCTCCGTCAATTACTTTCCTCTGCAGAAGCAACACGGGCTCATTAATAAAATATCATGTATAAATATGTGGGAGAGTGAAAATTTTCCTTCAAATTTCCATTGTGAATTAAATTTTTACTGCAATTCTTCACACATTTTTGCTTAATACTTCCCATCTGTGTTGAAATTCTGATGGTGTTAGAAAAGCTCATTTCATTCTTCTCCTAGGAAACTGCAATTCCGGTAAGAGCTTTTTCCGTGTTCTTCTCATTTGTGTCGCTATTGTATCTCTTGTGTATTTTCCGTTCCGCTCTGGTCAAATTGATCGTGAAGGAGTGAAATTGAGTGTGCAACAGAGGAAATTTAAAATGTTCAATTGCTGGTAAAGGATTGTGAAATATTCATGGGTAGATTGTGTTAGAAAAATATCATGACATCACATAAATAATAAAGTCTCATCCTGACATCCTAAAATACGATTACGGTAATTACATGTTCACATGTTTCTTTTAAACTACAACAAGAGTGCCAAAATGTCGAAGTGCCATGTGAAAAATCCATTTTTCACACCCGTCTCGAGGGTAATACACTTTGTAAACTAACTACTTCTCATATTAAACTAGATGAGTTCTGCGTTGTTGTGTGAAAAATGTTGATAATTGAGAGAAATGAAGAATTTTTTCGGCTCTCTCACCTGTCATATAATCAATATTTCACGTTCATAATGCCTTTATTATGGAAACCTTATTCCGAGGCACTTGTAGTCAAATTTAGGGCAGATTTAGCCAGCATATTTTCTGTTTATTATGGGCAGAATTTCTTCGAAAAAAAACCCTCATAATTAATCTGAAATTCATGATTGGATGTATGCTAAGTAATTTTATGAAGTGCCCAGGAAACGAAAGACTTTTGTAAAATTTATCCATTGCGTGTTTTCTGATTATCCTTTGTGGATCATGTCAAATAGAATAAATGAGATTCAGGATATTCCTTTATATCTTCTGATATTGAAAGATTGTTACCATTTCCTTTGTTACATAGTATAAGATATTCATATGAGATTCTGATGAATTTTTACAAGGTAAAACATCTGAGAATACAAGATACTTTGCATTAGCTTAAGCAAGATATTTCTCATTACTTTCTTCATCGCATTTTTTGAGATATACAGCAAAGTGAGGCAAAAGTTTCATCTTCTCCTGGGAAATCACTTAAGATGCAAGCGTTTTGGGGTAGAGAAATGTTTTCACTGATGGCGTGCAGTTAGATATGAGGTGAAAGACGACAACAAGCGAGCTTTTAATGATAATTGTGTGAATTTTCATTTGGGTGGGATGTAAGGCAGAGTGGCAAGAAGTGTCTCCATATGGCCTTTTATCAGTTCACCACTTGTGAGAATGATGATACTCTCCCCTTTGCGAGCTGAGATCTTTCACAAGACGCGTCTCTGTTGTCTCGTCAGCGTTAATTTTCCTCCTCCTCAATTTATTGTCTGTGGAATACTCTCTCTCTCTGTCTCTTGTGTATCTCAAGGAGGTCTCATAAAACGAAAATTTGTACAAGATTGTGTACCAGAGTTGAAAGTGATAGACTGTTGTTCCTACTCTTTATTCTGAAGGATTGATGCCTGATTATCTATGTCATCCTGCATCTCTGGTTGCTTTTCATGCTCTAGTGGAATTTCTAAACCACTTCACTTGCGACTGTGAATTTCAATAAGGTTTTATTAAATAATTTCTGGTGTAAATTGCAAATGAAATTTGTCATGTAAAATGAATTTGTTGGAGATGTTGAAAGAAAATTTATGGTACGTCATTTGGGAGTGACATCGCACATATTCACACTGTGAAGGGGAGAGAGACAAAGAGAATCCTGTGGAAAAGTATAGTGGAAATGCGGAGATTTCAGGAAGACCTGCAAACCAGATGAGAACATGAGTTCACAGTAGAATTCCAATGAATGAGTTCACTGCGAAATGATGATGTGGCTTCTGTGGTTTTCATTTTCCATTATTGTTTTTTACCCTTTTGCCCCAAGGCTTGTACTTTGATGCATTGTCCAGAGGAAAAGTTTAATTAATGCTTTCCTTTTTTTTCCCCATCAGGCTTCCCGAAAGTGGTGCCACAGCCAGGAGCTGCAACTCCACCGGCTCAGGCTGGCGGACAATCCTCATCGAGGCGCCAATCGAGGAATCTCGAGTGCCTTGCCCCACCGCGAACTGGGTCATTTCGCCAGAGAAATTCGCCAGTTCACACCACTCCGCCGGATCGGCCGCCGCTGGTCTTCTGCCGACGGAGACTGTCATGGCCTGAAATTGATTCTCGATCCACTTCCGGGTGAGTGATCAATTCCCATTTATTTGCAATTAAGCCGCTGTGACTGAGGGAGCCCTTTTGGCTTTCAAAGGGATGTCTGGAAATATTATGCCATCACTTTTACACTCGATTTGCTTTTAGGGCCTCACTTTGTACTTGCTCTTGAAGTTACACAGATAAATTTGTTTGAGGTTTTTGCGCTGTAACATGACAAAAGCTATGACATTTATATTCTTAGGTTGTGACCGATTTTTCTGATTATTCGTGAAGTGAAAATTACATTTTGAAATTATTGTTTTTTTTCTAGGTCCTTTGCCAAATAGTACAAATTTTGTCATTCTTTGACAACTCACAGAAAATAATAATAATGTACTAATTAAAAGCTTGGCAGAGGAACGAAATATTCCTTCAAAGGAATGCAATTGTTCACAAGCTGATGACTCCTTTTGCTTCGATGATGGCGGTAGTTGATGTCATGACAAAGTGAAAGCCACATTTCGACCCCATTGGGAAAGCCACAGACAGAGAGCGCATTCTCAGCGGACAAAATTGACTCACAGTCATGTTAATATTTCATGTGGTTTGGTCTCATCTGCATAGTGGGTAACTATTTCAATTCATCACTGCATTAACAGTGATTAGAGCAGCCGGATGAGAGGCTCTTTTCATGGGACAGAATTCGACCGTGCTTGTAAATGATCCCAGAAACCTAGATTTCATCTTGCTATTTTGCCTTCGGGGTGTGTTTGCTTCCAACTTGCGGCCAAAGTTAAATTGTCTTTCTCATCGGGATTAAGAGCGAGAACTCGCAATGCAATTTTTACGTATTTGCCGAAAAGCACAGTTCTCATGGAGGAGTATTTTGAGTGTGGTAAAGTTGGCGGAAACTTTGTATATTGGGTGGAGAGATAACATGGTGTTGGTTGAGTATAGATAAGAAAATCGATGTACACTCCTTCCATGTCTGGAAGAAGCGCGCTCCATTCGCGCTAATTCACAAGGAGAGTGAAAAGTGTGGCAATTTGTGAATTTTTGTGAATCACTCAGAAGATGTATGGTATAATTCTTTCATCTGCGAAGCTCTAGCGAAAGTTTCTTGGGTGTGGGTGTTATTTTTCGGTGGCGCGGCGTCATTGGAAAAGAATTTCTCCTTCGAATACACGAAGAGTCTGAGCTCTAAACGCACAGAGATCAAAGGAGCACTCAATAATTCCGGGTGGCAGATAATCGGATTTATGTTAGGCTAATCGAGGGGCTGTGCTCCGCAATGGAGGGTTGTTGGAACACATGTTGCGAAGCGATGGGAGTATCCAAATGATCATAAAATCATTACCAGTTGAGTGATTCTGATGGAATATTCGTGTACTCATCCACTTGGTAGAAAACACACGCTCCACGGAGTCTCTTCGGGGGCCCAGAAGAGAGATTCCTCAAATGCCGGGGGCGGCGAAGCCGGGAGGCCCATTTGGCCCCCTTGGAGAACGATGAATGACGTTAGATGAATATTTCATACGACTTAATAATAATACCCGCCGAGAGACAGAGCAACAATGTGAGAAGCATTTTACACCCTCGCCAAAAATGTATACGCATTATTCACACGATTGACTCACGATAGGCGGTTTTCTCAAGGAATTTCACTGAACAATAAGCAAACAACAAACTCATGTGTTGCCTGAATGGAACGTTGACTAAATTTAATGCGATAAGCTTGATGGGTTGATGAAATAAGCTATTGAATTCCATCCGGTTCCGTTGTGAAGGACTTCTTTTAAGTACGCCTTTTGAATAAGAAAGTATTGCAATAGATGAAAAGTATCAAAATATCGCTAGCCTCTCTCGACGGCCGTTCCGATGTGTTGTTTTCCCGTGGCATCGCAAGAGAGGAAAGTGAAAAGCGCTTCGTCTTCCTGTATTTTTCTCACGACTATGTTGTATCTCGCTGTAGGTATGAACATATAGACATACCTTTGCTCATAGTATGGGTCGCTTTATTGAATTTGCATGGGAAAATTCGACATTCTTGGCATTTAGGCGGGGAGTGGGTGATTCCCGGAAGAGGCTGCCAGTCTCGTGGGAGTAGAAAAGTGCGGATATTGGCACAAATCGCGTGGGTGAAGTTAGATTTTTTTTTGGATGTTAGTGGGTGAGAAGGGAAAATTGAGGCTGTGTGTTGTACATTCTCGATTTATGATTCCCAACATTATCCATCTAAAACCCCTTCTAATCCCATCCAAAACCACACGTATAGCATATTTTCCGTATTTGCTCAACTTCTCCGTTACTCTATCAGTTTCGTTTTTGCCGAGACGATTTTCACAGCATTTTCAGTATATGGAAAAGAAATTTTCACGTGTTCAACAGAGTGTCTTCCGCACTACTTTTCTGTTGGGGTAAATTTTTGAATACGTAATGCAAAAATTTCTGCTAACTTAAAACTGTTGAATATGCAAATTCCATCTGCTAATTATACATAATCAACAGATTTAATTTGTAGAAATAAAGTTCTGAATAGTTTGTGAATAAGCGACAGAAAACTGTCAGATTTTATTCGTGAATCAGTGTATTTTAATTACCTCGCGAAGGATGCAATAGATTTTTAAGAATTACAGAGTCATATAATTAAAAAAAAATAACACTTTAGGGACACAATTATTGTTCTTCTTGTATTGTCTTTTATTTTATTGTCGCATTTTCTTGCCTCTGCTGTATTATAATTAATAATCCTCGAAACAGGGGACGCAATAGAAAGTTTGGAGAAGCTATCGCAAGTTGATTAATCCGTAATACAAGGCTTCACGAAGGAGAGTAGCTATAACAACGAAATGTGTGAGATATAGAGGGCCTCTCAAGAAGAGTAATAATCGATAAAACGTGCTACACTCATAGAGATTATTATCATTTATTGCATATTGGCTAGAGTGAGAAGAGATTTTTTGCATGGTCTAATCTCATTTCATTATCATGTTGACGAAGGGCCTTTTTCTGTCTTTCTTTCTCGTCATTTGACTAAAAGGCTATGGTTAACTCATTGTAACGCAAGGGGTCGAGTTCACTTGTTTAGAGATTTGCAAATTACTTGACATGGGTTAAAAAAAATAAATAAATCGAACATGGAAATGGAGAAGGGCCTAAATTCCAATTTAATTCCCTGAAATATTTACGATTCGTTGAATCATGAGGACATGATGTCATTTTCCGAATGTAAATTGAATAATAGAAATCAATTAAATTCCTCGATTTCTGCGACATTTTCCCTCCTTGAGCATTCTTTAGTCCGCTTTTTTTTCTCCCTCTGTCCAATCACCAAATCTCCATTCCACGAGAGAGGATAAGAATTTCCCCTCCTGTTAATTTTCATGTAAATTCCATTGACATGAAATTTGGAGTGGTGTCTGCGGATGTTTTCCTTTGGTGTGTTGCTGGAGATTTTAATTAATTAAAATATAAAAGCCCCCCCCCCGAAAGGTTATTACTGGGGGTGCTTTGGCTCCGGCGAATCACCACCAACGATCACCACTCCAGAAACCACCACTGGATGATACTTGAGAGATGACTGCGGGAGTTTAAAGTTTGACGATAAGGCATATAATGCGGCAAAAATCGAGGGGGAAGAGATTCTCACTCGTGGGAAGTTTGCGAGGCAACATCAGCTGGAAAGTTTTGAGGGCCTCCCACACGCCCTAAATGCCCTCCTTACATATGTTTGCAATTGTGCCATAATCATTCGAAATGCGATAAGAATATCTATACCCATATTCTGTACATAATACAGACAATTCACCGCTTCGCTCGGTTTAAATCTCTTCCCACCAGACATTTGCCATTTGCATTTATATACGATTTTGGGCCACTGATACGCGTTTTCTCTCACTGGATGAGTGAAGGGATCTTGGCGGAGATTTTTTTTAGACTGTGTGTTTGCCAATGAGAGAAGAGCAAGAGACAAGAATCTCGGGGGTGGCGTGCCAACAGATACAATGAGGAATTGTGGGAAAAGCTCAGTGAGATGAATTTTCTTTTCGTTTTGCCCTATGAGGAGAAATCTGAAAAGTATACTCACAAATTCCAAGGGCATGTGTGTAAAAACAGAAATTCGTACACCATCTGCCGAATCTTGTCCCAAAACCTGTGACATAATTGGATTTTGGTGTCGAAGTGGGAGATAGTGCAAATTACAAATCTGCTATGAAAGGGACGGAAGGAGAAATGTAAATTTATATGTGGGGACACGAAATGAGAAGAGAATGGGATGTTTTCTAAGGTCAGGGATAGTCAGATAATCTGCTTCAGCTCAATATCTTTCATCTCAATCACATCTTGCAATATTCTATCGTGGTCAAAGAAGCTTCTGATGTTGAGATGAGTTATTGCATTTGAGAGAGCTTTCAAATGAGCTCAAGATCATCAAAATCCAAGATTTTAAAACAGAATCTGACTGGATATATTCCAGTGATCAATACACAAATTGGAAATATGAACAGTGCCAGATTGTAAAGATGATTTTGCGAAAGCATCCTAAAGCGGTGGGTCAGGAATTCTGAGAGAATGTGAGGTATTCGTGCTTCAAGTATAATATTGACTGAAGAGATAGAGAAAAAAAAGTCATATTACTTGGATGAAAAGAGAAATGTTTTTTGACGAAGACAAACATTTCGCCTCCTCTTATATTGTCAAGGCATTATTGTGACGTGACTTGTTTTTTCTACATATTTATATTTGCCATTGGGAAGGAAATTCCCCAGAAAATATGTCTCGCATTTCTCTTGTGAGATCGTGAATCAATTTTATTGCATTTAATTTTTAACCCTTCGCCACGGAATTTGCTGTCATCAGCAAAGTAATTGCTTGGCGCCTTGGAAGAGGCGATGAAATAAATTTTCCACAAACATGCGGAGTCTTAATCAGTCGACGTTGGGAAGGGTGGTGTGGGGAGAGGTGAAACTATAAATTGATGCAAGTGAGAGGGGGAAAAGAAAATTCTTGGGCATTTAATTTCTCTCTCTGTATCATAATTAAGTGGACGAGGACTTCCCGGGAAAGATTAATATCGCCTCCGGTCTCAGCATTCTTCTATCTCCAGGCGCACTTTGGTGTGTGCAGAAAGCTCTGCAATCTGTAGGGATGACGCTAATGTATGTACAGTGGATGGTATTGGAATCAAGAGAGTAGAATGAAGAGAGAGTTGCACAAAGAGGAACTTTTATGAATTCACGATTCATCGACAAACAAAAGGCGAAGGAAAATCTCATAGATGAAGAGAAGAATATGAGAATGGAATAAATCCCAGTTTTGTCTCTTCAGCCACAGCGACAGACCATCAACATGAATTTCTAAGGAGAGATTCTCGGTGTATGTGTCATATGATGAGAAAATGGGCAGAAAGAGAGCGAGAAAAGTGATAGAGATAATAAAAAGAGCGCGTAAATGGAGTCTAATACAAATTTTATGAGCGGACAGATAAATAGGCAACAAAAGGAAAGCCAGAGAAGATGGTGGAGGCCGAAGAAGAGACACACGGAATGGATAAAAATTAGATAAAGTAAGAGGGTGGATTTTTTGCAGAGTCTTCGGGAAGAGGGAAGGTGAAAGCGAAGGAATCAACTTGGCAATATACAGTAAACACCTTTTATCGATCCACTTTATGAGACGATCTCTATGGGAGTCTCTGTGATGGTCTTTTGCTCTCCATCCGATTGGGGTCTCGGGGTTATTTTTATTTAATAATACAAATTCCCTAACACCATTTTCTCCTCATTCTCATTCGTATGAAGATTCCTCTGCGTGATGCGACTGTTTCCACGCTCACCAAAAGCTCATCGCAGAGGAAGATTGTTGATATCAAAGGCACGAGGCACCATCCTGTTGATTAATCCAATTACTGTGGGCATAACAATGCTGAGTTTACGCTTCATGGGCTCAGTGTCTGGCCGATGAAAGTCCCTGAAAATCTGCTTCAATAGTGCATGAAATTTGATTTCGCACATTAAACTTTTCTCACAACTGCAGAACCACAAATTCTCTGGCAATTTCCAGTGAGCATGATAATGGGGGAAATATTTAACCAATGCACTTCTCGTGCACTTGTGCCAACATCACTTAATTATGGTGATTTGCCGTACAAATATTTATCTGTAAATTTTGTGGAAGATTTATTGTTTGCCATTAAAGGCCCACAAATATCTGGCTATGAAATCTCACGGTGATTTTTCACGTGACCTCCAGGAAGTCGTGAGAGGGTGTATTAAAAGTTTGAAGAGCGTGTAGGCGCTTTTTTATGTTGCTGCTAAGATGTGCCAAAAATTGAGAGCGGGAAATTAATATCCAAGTGTAAATCATATTTAGTGGTGGATGGATAGAAGAAGAGGGAGAGTGAGTGAATATTATGGGATGGTATGAACACAATTTGGCGAAAATTAAGTGGACTTTCCCCATATTTGATATCTTTTATAGCATCTCCTCATAACATGCCACCTTATTAGAGATACAAAGACTATGGAAATGCGCTTCAGGATGTATGTCCTCGCATTCTCGCGGCGTCATATTAAAATTAAACGGTTAGTGGTGAAAAGTCTCTTAATTCCTCAATTACAATTTGAGTTATGTTAATCGTAAAAATAATGTTATGGTGCAAATAATTTAATGACCACAAATGAAAAAAAAATCCGACTGACATTATAACACAATAATAAATTTGATTATGGTTTGGACAATTTGATATTTATATCTCTTGGAGATAAATTAATTTGGAAAATGTGTCATTTTATGTTCGCCTTTTATGTGGAAATTTCATAATATATTTTTTAGTGACCATTTGGGCTCCAGCGGAAAAAAAATATCGCGAATAACCGCGAATGATGTTATAACAAATTTCCTGGTCCATGGCGAGGGTTTTTCTCTATTATCTCTCACCGCGATAATTATTTGTCAATTGGTTTACATAAAACCACATATAGGGGATGAAAATGAATGGTTTTATTCATGATTAAGCGCTATTTTTGCTGAAAACGGTATGCTTTACAATGTTTTTGATGTGGTGGAAGTTTCATGAGCATCAAACAAAGGCATGGAGTTAATATTTAGGCATGGAAAAATGGTCAACTAAGCGGTAAATTTGTCCAAGTCAGTTCATTAGATTGAGGTAAAATGATGGAATGCAAAATTGAAATGTGCTAATGAAAAATATTGATCAGCCACGCTGCTGATGATGATGAATTTGATGACATGGCAAATTGCGACTTTTCCTCATCAGCTCTGAATTTTTGCTGATATGGATTGCTCAGGCCGGAAGATGTTTTAACACTGCATGGCGAAGGCAAAATGATTGGATTTAATTGATGAAAGTGACACGTTTAATGAATTTCGCAAGAGATGAAAATTAATGTGGATAAAAGTCAAGTGTGACGGTGATTTATGAAATCTCCGTTGAGAGCATGAGAATTGAATTCCTCATTCATTTGGAGCTTAATGAGTTTGAGCATCTCACTTTGGCAATGGCTGAAAATTTTCCAATTTTCCACCCTCCCACCTTCGCCCATCCAGTGGAGGTTAATGAGTTTTCCCCAGAGGCAAGGAAAATGAATGTTGAGCAGCATTGAAAGGTTGCTCAAACATCGAAGGGGGATCAGTTCGATGACCAGTAATTGCTAATGTACGCAGTAATGCCCTAGTCATATAATCTGGGGCATATAGGGTAAACACATCCATTGAAATATAGATTAAGCAATTGAATCACATGTCAATTTGATCACTTTGCAAGTGAGATGATTATCCCAGCTTTCGCCACTTGAATTATTGTGAAATATTAATTGTGTTTTGACGCTCGAAATTCACAACGAGATCGAAAATACTGGTCACACAGAGCAAAAGAAAAAAACATGTTCAACTTGTGAAGCACAAAAGGTCTCAAATGAGTTTTTGTCAAACAATTTTTGAAGAGCATTATTGAAAAGTTTTCCCACAATGTATACAAACGCCTCTTTATTCATACACTCTTGTCACCCTCAATTCCATTTACTTTTTGTGCGTTGTGAAATTCATTTGGAGAGGACAAGACAGGTCAGAAGAAGCACAATTCTCCCAGAATAAGACGATGGTGTGAGGCTGTGTGAGAATAGAGTTGAAAGTTGTCACATAAAACTTAATAAAAATTTCTCACCTTCCTTCGCTAAAGTATTTTTGGGGTGTGTTTTGTTGTTGCAGAGTTCAGGAGACAGATGGTTCCTATTTTGAGAGCTTCACCGCTCTGGCATGGAAGAGGGAGAATCGTCGTTTGTCATCTATGCGAGCTGCCGAGGCGAGGGCGGAGACGCTTCCGGAACACGAGAAGGATCTGCGCGAGGCGCACGTGGACGAAGAGGCCAATCGGCCGGAGCACAGGGAGCAGCTTTATGTCGATGTGCTGTACACTATTGCCAATACAGTGGGCGCTCCGGCTCCAGGAGGGCAGGTGAGAGCCTCTCAGAGTCAGTTATTAGAATATGCTTTCGGGGAAGTGCACAGAACAGCTGAAGAGCCACTTGCCAGAATTGCAAACTGTTCTTGGGGGATGAAGTTAATTGCAGAGCATGGTTTTAATGCAATTTAATTAAACCGTTTTCCACCAGAGAGAAGGAGGCTTTGTGAAATAATTACCCGCGCGGTGTGGATGGAAGAAAGAACAGAGTGAATGGGGCAAAATTGTATGGGTTAAGCGAGAACATGGCAAGAGAATGGCAGTGGGGCTGATGAAAAGGTTGTTTTGTCTCTTTGGGCTGTTTTTCCACCAAGAAGGATGATGAGAATCTAAACAAAAGCGGTTTAGTGGGGATGTTTTGTGTGATGGCACATTTTATACAGATCCTTTTCAGTGGCAAAACTTTAAACGGTATGTTTATACCTTTTATATTAATCCTTTTTAGTACTCTCTCTCACTCTCTCTCTCACCCTTCAATATTTCACAATATCGCAATCTTGATCTTTAAGACACAGTTGCTTTCAAAGAGAACTCTCAAGTCATTATTTACCTCTTGATTTCAATGATTATTCTACGTTTGAGAGATTTTCTCACATTTTTAAAGCTTCCAAAGGGAGAAAAAAATCTCTTGATTTTTCCAGTCTTCTTTTGTTCACACTGGCTCTGCGGAAGGTTCCTGAGAAACTAACACAATGGCACAGATGCAAGAAACTTTAATTGCGTGTTTCTTATAATCCTTCATTACCAGATTTGCTGTCTCAATCCATCAAGCACTCAACTTTGGTACGGAGTTTAATTTTCAATTTAGTGGATATACGGAGGATTTGTATACAAATTGCAAATTAAACCAATTTATAAACATTCTAATGTTATGAAACGCAACACTTGCGGCTGTTTGTATCGGGAACAGCAACGCAAAAGTGGGTGGATAGCAAATTGCATCTCATGCAGAAAATGGAGTGGATGAAGTGGATGAGATTTCCATCTGTCTTTTTTCTCTAAGCAACTCTCTGAAATCTCAGCTGCTCGTCGTGTTTCATTTGAAAATTCCACCGTCTTGTGGAAAATGTACTCTTTTTCATGCATTCTCCACCAGAGAAAAATGTCAATTGAACTAGTTTCTACGTTTCATTCCTATTGTGCAGTCGGAGGAAAGATATGAGAGAAAATCCTGAGGATTAAGTAATGAAAATTCCACTCGATTTAATGATATTCATGGTTGATTTGAGCAGAAGGAGAGCCAGAAAGGATGCCTTTGTGAGGAGGATCTCTTGTACGTGCATGAAATATTGGTGAAATGTGGTCAGAAAGTCATTTGTATGGCAATGTAACATATGGCGTAGTTTCCTTTTTTTTCGTGACAGGAAGGTCGAGAGGGGGGATCAAAAATGGGAGATATTGTGGAAATTCTTCACATGATTTACCACTGAGGATACATCATAATGAACCTTTTCGTTTGCAGTTTGCCCACTACAAGGAGGAGATGTATCTGCAGGCCCAGAGGGCATTTGGCGTCTCGCCAGACCGCCACTATCGACTGCTCCATGCGGCCGCCGAGGAGAAACCCAAAATTGTGGTGCTATCAGTTGTGGTGCAAGAGGCCGAAGGTCTCGAGGCGAAGGATGCCAATGGTGAGTATTGTTGCTTCTTTTTCATCCCCGCAAACTTCACCTGGCCAGGATTGTGTACAAAAGACTACGCCGAAAATCCCGACCGCAGTGCGAGATTTTCCCAAGCACACACTATTTTCCCGTCATTCTTCTCGTTCTGCGGCCCAGAATGGTGGGAGTAATTTATTTCATCCCAAGGCACTGACTCTATCAAATTGGATGTGCCTGAGGATGGCCCAAAGATAGAGAGCATCAAGCAAACATGTTTTCCGTATTGCGTTCGAGAGTGAATTGGTGGGGTTTGCGTAGTAAGGATGGGTGAAAAAAGGGCTTCAGCAAGCTATAAATATTCAACACATAGTCATTCACTTGTTGATTTTCTTTCCGCAAATGGGCGAGAGAGTTGCGTTGAGGAGACGGGCGGGGAAGGATTGAAATAAAAATGATACGTTTTTAGTGTTCATCCAAGAGACGCATGAGACGATGGTAAAAATCTCATCACACTAAAATGAAGGGATTTTTCCTTATGCGAAAAGTGTGTTTGTCGTGTGAATTTGTGTGACACTGGAATTTACTTTTGTGAATTCTTCACTTCTAATCAAACTATTGAAACTAGCGTAGATGGAATGTAAAATGAAGAGAGCGACTCATTATTCAGTCATGTACGCATTCAAGTGCGATTCGACTCCCGCATGTTTATTAATTTTCCATGTTTCATAAGAGCCACTTTCTGAATATTTATGAGGTTTCCTCGAAGGGAGAACTCAATATATTTCATCACAGAACTTGTGTGACAGATATTTATGTAATAATCAGAGAATTTCCGTGTCTATTTGACTTACCTCGCTCCTTGATGAATGTTGTTCCATTATAATTGAAACGCGGGTGAATCCAACATATTGCAAGTTGCGCGAGGTGGAAAATTGCTTAATATCATGCAATATACACCCTTTTTGAGCCCAACCAATGGTGTCTGTCCATTTTATTTTATATTGGGAAGACCATGAAAATCAATTTATTATTACCTTGGACTTGTGCTAGGCGATATTTTCAACATTTTTTTCCCCATCCGGAAAAGCCCTAATCGATATATTGCTTCTCCAAATTGAAGTGTCGGAAATATTCTCCGAAAACTTTATCGGCATTTTCCATGGGGATTTGCCTGATTCCAGTGGTAATTGCAAATTAATTGATTTTCCACTTCTTGTGTGTGTGTGGGTGCACGTGAAAATTTCCTCCTTGGAAAACTTTGACATGTGCCCTGAAAGTGACGATTTATCTAATTTCCTGTCATTATTCTGAAAATCTCCACACCATATTCCCTCTCCTTCCAACGTCTGTGCATATGACAAGAGTGTACTGTTGAGATGAAAGGCTTTTCATGGCGACAATATCCGGTGGAGTCCGATTGTGTGGTGGACGGAAAAGCTCCTTTCAATTGTGGCGTATGGAGGCCTTGTGTGACAATGAGCGCGAAGTGGGAGAAATCCTTATTTATGAGGGGTGGTAAAATGTATATAATGAATCAATCACAATTTTCATGCAATTGTCTCCTTTTGTACACTTTAATCCTTTCACTTCATATGTACTTCCGAGGGTTTCTCATACAATTCAACAGTGGGAAAATTCTTTTAGTCATAGGAAATCAGCATGACAAAGTGCCCTCCAATTGACTTTTTCTATTCAGTTATGGTAAAAGTGGTATTTTCCACACAATTTTGCCATAATAATGAGGCTTTTATGAAGCTTTGCTAAAATTCCGAACACAGCATCGACATAAAGCACTAATTTAAGAGCTTCATTCCATTCAAATAATTCTATTTATAATTTAACCACTCTATAGAGGAAGTTATTTAGTATTTATATATTGCTGAATTTTCCTATTTACCTTTTCTATTGACTGCAGAACGTGCAAAACTTTTACGTATGTGGAATAAATGTTCTATTAGACTCAAATTTCACTCTGCAACAGAAGCTAAAGCATCCAGCTTTGTTTGTGTTGAAAAACCATTTGGAAGTGTGTGTTAGAAAATGTTCATTGCATTGCATTGCATTGGGTTTGGTGTGCTGAGAAGATTAGGAAAATTGCCTGCACTTCCTCTGCATTTGCTGGGTTGGAAGAATTTTATGTTGGTGTAGATAAGAAAGTCTCTGAAGGCAATTGCATAGAATTTTGTGGTGGGTTTACTGGAGAGAAAGAAATATTTGCACTTGTATTTGCACAATAGAGCTTTCGTTGGGGCAAAAATAATTGCAATTTTGTGCAAAGCATTGTGAATGCATAGTTTGAGGTGGAATTTATTGTCCGTTGCATTTTTACATTGGTGCGAAATTGTGAAATAAAATTTCTGAAGCGCGGAAATAGTTGAAATTCTTATGCTGTTGAAGGTGTCTTGAGGAGATTATAATCATGACTCACTTCTCGAGCTCCTCTTCGCATTTCTCGGAACCGAGAGAGAGAGAGAGAGAGAGAGAGAAAGTTGAGGAGAAAATCTCTGAGCAAGTTTTGGTGAAAATTATTATCCTGTGACGTGTTGCGAGGCACTTTGGTACAATTTGGAGATTAAATTTTCACAATTGTGTCAAGGGGGGATTTTTTGAGGGAGGCAGGCAAAAAGTCTAAATAACATTAACACCGTTTATATCTCCTTTTGGCCCCGTCGCTTCTCTCGGGTGTGTAAATATTGACGGGGGCGCCGGAAAAGGTCCTCGTGCAGAGGAAAGAAGGACACATGAAGGTGTCGTGAGAACCTTCGTCATTGCCTCTATCTTTTTTGTGGTCGTTTCATCTTTCCATCGCGCCAATGGATGGAGATTTGATTGATGTGTCTCGTCATTTAGAGTGACTTTATTCCCTGTGTCTTCATTGCCCATCACTGTTCTCTCTGCAACATGAGAGGAAAATTGGTGTCAACAGGTGAAATCTAATGAACAATTTCGACACATGTGGTGCCACTGTGTCGGGGAAAAGTGACTAAAGTGACTTGCAATAGGGTACAAATTGGACTTTTGTGATCTCTGCACTTTTTCACCATCAGCAGCCAATGGAATTCATAAGTGCTTTTTCGTCTGTTCTCTTTTTCTCCACACTTTTCACGCTGTGCCCGCTTGAAAAAGGGAATATTTTAGGCGATAAAAAAGACAAATGACAAACCCTTAGCAGATGGTGAAAAAGTTTTATAGTTTTTGGGTAGCACTTTGTCCACTTCTTCACTTATATTGTTCAAACATAATTCCTTCCATCTTCTGTTGTGCGACAGAGAGGAAATAAGCAACTTGACTTGGGAAATTGATGACAACTAGACAAATATAAAAATCACTTGTAGATTATTGCCAGACATATAAAATGGCAATAATATGGGAAAGTGATGTGTGATACGGCTGTCGAAACTACACATGGAACTTCATTTTCCGCCACCCTTCCCTATTTTTATTGCTAACACTCATAAAAATGACTTTTTATGCGTGTCACAATTGCGGAGAATTGACATTTTCATCTCCCAACCACCATTTCCGACCATAAAAATTTCTCTATATGGGCAGCTAAACCCTTTTCAGCTTATGGGAAGTGTAGGACTTAGATTGAAGCTCACGAGCGCGATTTCCACACACTCAAAAAGTGGAAATATGCTCTCTCTGCCAGATTTTGACCCCTTAACCCTCAGGGGATGATTAGAAAGTGAATGGGAAGCAGGGTGGATTGCCAAATAAACTCTACAATTGGAATTTTGCCAACTTTCACTCTTCATTCATGGTCATGATCTCAATTCTTGCCACTTTTACCACTCATGCGTGTATGAGAATAAAACCAGCTTTTTCTATGTCATTAAAAGTCTCTTTTCCCATGAGAGCGTCTTTTCAGTCATTCAATATTTATGTGTGGTGATGTTTGAGGGAAAATATCCACTCATCCTCGTGCAATTGTTAACAGTGAGGGCGCAAAAAGTGCTGAGAGATGATTATGTTTCTTTGCATGTTTTTTTTTTTCTTGTCGAGACACTCTTCCAATGAAATGGATTAATTTTGTCGAGCTTCTGTATGTAGCAATTTGTAGAGAGATTCCGATGCTTTTTACCCACAGCAGAGTAGCCACACTTTTCAGCTTTGTTGTGTGGTTGAAGTGAAACCTCAAAATGTTACTCATTCTCTTTGGCGCTGGGATTGAATGAAGGGTGGGTGAATTTTAATTAATTTACCAAAAAGGGGAAAAGATGAAATTTAATAGGATACACATAGCAATTCCACGTCTCTGCACAAACACATTGCAAATTTGTGGATTGGTAGATGAAAAGCTCCTCTACAAGAGCCACAGAGCTGGGAAATCTATAAATTTTGCTTGTGATGATATAGTTTCTTGGCTCTTAGCTTCAAATTAAGGACAAAATTGTGGGTTATCTGATGACTCCCATTGGAATATACAATTGCTTTGCTCGGACCTTTTAAGTCAGTCTCCGAGACTCTTCAAAGGATCAATACATTTGCGAGAGGGACTTGCTTCGGTGCATGGCAACAGGACGGAAATTAAGGCATCTCTCTCCGTCTGAACGTGTGTCAGAGACATATCAATAAAAAAAAAGCTTCCATACCCTTTGGAAGGAATTCCTAAGGCGCCTCACGAGTGAGGCAAAACATTTTATTGATTGATGTGTGGAGTCTGTGTGACATTTTCTTCACCACTCGACGACCCTCATTGTTGTTTATTGTATGGCTGGCATGGGGAAGTTGTCATCATTGTTTCGTTGTGTATAATGTTTGACATAAAACCATCCAAGCGGATTCGGAAGTCAAGCCTTGAAGAATACTTGAAAGTTCATAGATAAGAGAGAAAACCTTCAGCATCCCCATCATCTATCCATCTATGAGAAAGAGAAGGGGTGTGTCTTTGTGATGGCAACAGGATGGGTGGAAAATGTTGATTTTCAGTGCTTTCCACCACTCATCATATTGATCACATCACACACAATTGGTGTCTTTCAATAAATATCATCTTCAACAAAGGCAGACGTCTCGCAGAGTTCCAA